GGAACACTACATCAAAAACTAATGATGTAATGTATGGTGATTAACATAACAGTAAAATTTTAAAAAATGCCTTATCATTTCAAAAAAAAAAGTGAGTAGATTTAAACAAAGCACGACTTTGTGAATGTTAAATCGAGGTGATAGGAGATATGGTGAAAATCGTGACAGAGATACACCAATGATTACAGATGGGGAAATGCTGGAAAGATAGGAAAGAACCCCAACTCTGGAGCCAGACAAACCGGGGTGCCCTGCTGACTGGGAGGGAGCATGCTTGAGCTCCTGCATTGAGGAGCCCGGGCAGTGAGGGTGCAAGAAGGTTCTGGACCTTCTGTAGTACTGTCCTCCATTTTCCAGGCCTGCAGAGCCCCGAGAGGGGTCAGGGTGACCTGTCTGGGCTCTTTTCAGGACTTAGGCCTGCTGGGGAGAATGGTAGAGTTGTACATTTACCAACTGCAAGCACGGGTTGAGAGACAGGCTGCTGCAGGTGCTAATCCTGGCTCTGCCCCTGAGGGCTGTGTGACCTTGGCAATATTCCTTAACTTCTCTGAGCCTCAGTTTCTTCATCTGTAAAATGAGGCTGATATGAGGACCTCTCCCATAGATTGTTTTGATCACTAAGTAAGGCAAGGAAAATAAAATGCTTAGCAAAGTACCTGGCACATAGAGTGCATTTAGTAAATAGGAGCCATCAAAACTGAGTTGAATTGAATTTGCTTTCATTTAAATTAATTAAGTCATGAAGTCAGTGAGTTCTGGAGCCAGGAATCTCTGTAGCCTCTGCAACCAAGCCCGGAGCCTTGGTAGCATCACCCTAATTGAGGATAATGTCTGGCCTAGTGGTCATTTTTAATGCAAGAAGGGGACTAATCAACAGCAGGGCATTGGGTAAGCGAACAGTGATGAATCCCGGCCTGGAATTGTCACACAAATATTTAAAATGATGTTGTAGAAGAATATTGAATGTCATGGAGAGATGTTTAGATATACACATAAGTGGAAAAAAGCAGTGCACAAAACAGTACGTGCATATTCCACCATGAAAAGCAAGGAAGGGCTGGTGTGCGCTGTGGCAGAGACGGGCCTCGGAAACACAGCGCGGAGGGAGGGTGGCCACCGCGGGAGACCGCCTGGTGTGTGTGTGATGTGTCTAGAACAGGCAGATCCTCAGAGACAGGAGGAAGTGGATTAGTGTTCACCTGGGGCTGGGGGATAGAGGGGTGGAGGGGGGTAGGTGGGGGGCGGGGCGCAAGGTTTCTTCCCAGGCTAATAAAAAGGTTTTAAAATCCAGTTGGTGGCACAACTCTGTGAAGTTACTAAAAGCAGCTGAATGGTGCACTTTAAATGTATGGTATGTGAAATTATCTCTCAATAAAGCTGTTAAAAATTCTCTGTGATTTCCTTCTCTAAAATTAAGAAATATATAAAATTTACATGTATATATTTCTAAGTTTTAGAGAAGTCCTACTACATAGAATTTTTAACAGCTTTATTGAGATATGTATCAATAGGCATGTGTATTATATATACATATACACAGATACATCAACATGTGTATTAATATGTCTGTTGGTCTATCTACTGAGAGAGACAGAAAGAGATGTGGGAGGCAATACAAATATATTCATAATAGATTCATGGGGTTTTTTTTTCCTTTTTACCCAATCTATATTCTCTTAGGTTTCTACGATGAATATGCACCACTTTTGGAAAAACAATGAAAAAATGTTTTGTCTTTAAGAACAGCTAGCTTTGGATTTCAGTGTCAATCCAATGAGTGCCAAAATCACTCCCCACTGGGACTCACGACTCCCCAGGAATGAAACGGGTCCCCTTCCAAGCCGTTACCTTGTCCACATTGAGGGGCACAGCGAACCTCCTGAGGGTGGGGATGGAGGTGAGCCTGCAGTTCTCCTCAAAGTCCTGGTTCAGGTTGGCCAAGTAGAAGAGCTGGTAAAGGCTGCTGTCCTCGTAGGTGATGACGTCAAACAGAAGGCAGCCATCCTCCTCGTAGGCGTTGACGTGATGAAAGACCACCATGGGGTCCGTGTAAAACTTGGTGGGCACAGGCTTCCTGGTCCTCTGGTCGATGATGTGAATGTAAGTCTGAAAGCAGAGGCACACCCAGAGGTCAGCTTCCCCCTGCCGGCCCGGCACGATGGCAGTGGGTGCAGGACAAGACCCAGCCCTCCCCTCCACTAGCTCGTGACCCTGGAGCATCCCCTTCCCCCAGAGCTCCTGGCTGTTGCCGGTCCCTGATTACCTCCTTCAGATGGAGCAGAGGGAATCTTTGCTGCTGGGGCCTCTGCAGTACCAGGAGGACAGAGTCTTGGGGAAGCCCCTGAGACTACGCCATCTCTCCCCCCCTTCAATTGACTGACTCCAGGTGGGCTGTGATGAGCTAGCTCCCTGGCAATGGCCATGTTGGGGAGAACGGGCCAGTCTTCTAGCCCTCCTTGGGCTCTATCCACAGCCAGAGCCCCTAAAACCCTAAAACCACACCAGCCCTTTTGGGTTCGTTCTCCCAACATCCACCTGCTGCCTGGTTGGCCAGGATGCAGTTGTCATGGCAACCTCCCTTATCCTGGGGGCTGTGGTGTGGAGCGACCTGTTCTAGTTAAGGGGCCCACATGGGTATCTGCACACACCTCTGGGTATCATGAGGCGATATCACTCTGGGTGGTAATTAGCCATATTTGCAACCCTAGTTGCCTAATCCAAAGTATGTGTGGGGTTCTTTCTTTTGGCAACTCTGGCCTAACCACCCTCCTTCTGAAAGGCAGGGAGGGACTACTCCAGGCTGGTCTTTGGCCACCTCCTCCCAGCTCATGTGCCTCTTGCTCTCCTTCTCCAGAATCCAGGTTGAACATTAAGTGGGAGTGCAGAGGAGGAAGGTTTTGACAGCGTGGAGGGGTGGGGGTGGTGGGCAAGTGAATATAGAATTATTTTAGCTCTTTTCTTCTCCGTGAACCCAATCCCTGGGTCGGGCACAGAGACTTTTCAGAGAGCTCTCAATGCATTCCAAAGCCCTTGCCCGGGCTTTCTGCCTGCACCCGGCAGCTCGGTCTTCTCTCTGTGGGATTCTCTGAGGGCCAAGGGATGTCCAGGGGCTGAAGAGCAAACCCACTTACAGCTGGCTTCCCTGCTGGCCCCTGGCCCCAGCGTTCATTCCACAAATATAGACAGAGGGTCTAGGACACATCAGACACTTTTTCAGGAACATTTTTCCAGGAAAGACAGAACAAAACCAAGCCCTTGCTTTCATGGAGCTTATAGTCCGGTGGGGGAGAGGCCAGCAGTCAATGATCAAATAATGTGCCAAGGACAATGAGCACTACTGAGAAAAATGAAGCCAGGTAGGGGATGGAGAAGCCTGGGGCGGGGGTCTGTTAGAGATTGGTTTATCACGAAAGGCTTCAGGGATCTGGACATTTAGCTGAGACCCGGATTAACTGAGGGAGGAAACCATCTGGGGAAGAACATTCCAGGTGGAAAGGACAGAAAATGCAAAGAACGTGTTAGGCTAGTTTGAGATACAGGAGGTCCAAAAGGAGGCTGAATAGGTAGGGAGCCAGTGGTTGGGATGTGGGCCTGTGAGGATTTGCAGGCTGGTCAGTGAAGCCTTTGGATCTTATTCTGAGGAAGATGGGAAATCACAAGAATGTTCTGAGCAGAGGAGGGACCTCTCTCTCCTCCCTGAGAAGAAAGGACAAGTGTTAAAGACATATAGTGATGGTTCCCTCTGGAGAGGGGACTGCCAGTGGCCAGGGGGAGGACAGGGGACTTGACATGTTACTTTCTCTCCTTGTGTACTGTTTGAATAGAGAATACTAAAAATTCCTTGATATTTATCACAAGTAAAAATTTACTCATTTCAACAGGAAGTAAATATATACACACATATCCATGCACAGATATATTCATACACATACATATGTACATGCACACACACACACACCCGAATATACAGGCAGGCACACGCACGTATACACACATCCACACTTGGAGCACTCAGGTGTGCCCGAAGATGTTTGGTTGTACCATCTCGTGGAACACTCTATCATTATGATGTCTAAATCATCTATGGCACCCACCCTTCCCTGACATTACCCAGTGGCTGCCGGGACACTGGAAGGGCCTTGTCCGTGGACGGTGGAAGCTGCAAGGAGCCCAGACATGGGTCAGGACTGAGGAATAGCCCTTGGCCACCGGGCTGGTGCCGACTGCCTGGCTGATGAGAGCCGGCTTGCCCGAGGTCACATGCTTTTCTGACAGGTACCGTCTGCTCTACTGACTCATTGACTTGGGGCCCCGGCCCCCTCAACCCCACCTGGGACCACTCTGCAGAACCATCCAGCTTCAGAACTCTCTGGAAGCTTGGCTGATGCTTCTGGGGAGACTGCACGGTGGCTCACACCCTCCCTCCCTAGGAAACCTCCTGCATGCCAACCTCCATGTCAGTCTGCTTCCTCACTCGGGCCGTCCCTGTGTGGCTGGGGGTCCCAGCCAGGCCTTACCTTGTCCTCCTTGTGGAAAGCCAGGCAGGAGGCCCAGTTCACTCCCCGGATGTATGCAGTTGACATTTTGAGGATATCTAGCTTGAAAGGCTGCTCGAGGAAAACGATGTGGTTCTCGGTGACTCCGAAGCTGTGGTAATAGCTCGGGGAGAGGAGGGAGCAGGGGGTGATGGAGCAGAACACCTCCATGTGCTTCAAGGGGTTCTTCCCCTTCTTGTCCTCTAGAGAAAGGCAAGCCTCAGGAGCAGCACAGGACCTGGCCACCCCCAGACAACGCCCCCATCACCTGCAGCTGAGCCTTTCAAACTGACCTGGTCGCTAAGAACCTTTGGATGAGAGCCGACAGGTAAACCGATGAAGGGGCTGTTGCCTGGCTGACGCAGGGGCTCCGAGTGTTCCCACTTAGGCCCTCCTGCCCTGCGAGACCTGGTGCTACAATCTGAAAACATGGAGCCCCAGAGCCAGGCCTCGAGGCCAGGGGTCTGCACGACAGCCTGGGGGCTCAAACCAGCCTCCACCTGTGTTTGCATCAAGGTTTCTTCGAAACACAGCCGTGCTCCCTCCTTTATGCGGGGTCCGTGGCTACCCCTGCTCTTGAGCCTCAGTGGTTTTGCTGAGGAGTTGCAACAGGGACCACAGGTCTGCAAAGCCTCAGATATTCACTCCAGGAAAAGCTTGTCGGCCCCTGCTCTGGAACAACACCTCTTCACGCACACAGATCGTCAGGGATCATGATCAAAGTGTGAAGTCTGACTCAGTATGTGGGGCTGGGGCCTGAGGTTCTGCATTTCTATCCAGCGCCCAGGGGATGGGCCAGCTTCCTAGGCATCGACTTTGATATTTTGCTGAGGCCCATCATTTGAGATGTACCTCACAGGGTTTCCATGAATTTCTCTTCACGCTGACCATTCAGAAACAGCTGGGGGTGAGACTAAGCACCCACTGTGATAAGGGACTGTTACACATCTTGTGACAATGGAAGAAGACCGTATGATCCCCATTTTACGGATGGGAAACTGAGGCGTGATGGAATATGGTCTATCATTATGGCCAAAGACACAAGGTTTAGGCCAAGAAGACACAGCCCTCTTAGCCGGGCCACCTCCTCTGTTATTAGGGATAATAACACTCACAGAGTGGAGAGAGAGAACAGAATGAAATCATGAAGTAGTCCAAGACAGCAGAGGTGCGCAGTACATGTTCGTGCTCTTATTCCTCTGTCAGGATGAGTCACCGCTGGCCAAAAGGCCTCCCCACCCAGGCCTGGGGCTGGCTTACATGAGTTATCTGCAAGCGTCCCCGCCTTGCTTGTGGCCACCTGGGCACACCATAAACAGCTGGCTGGTGGGAGGGATGCTGTGGGGTTGTGGGGTGGTTCTTTTCTTCACAAAACAAATGGAGCACAAAGCAAACCGAAATGGAAAGCACCCTGGCCTAGGAGGCAGGACCTGGCGTGAATCCCAGGGAAGCCAGCAGCATGCAGCAGGGGCTCAGTGGGGAGCTGCAAGCATGATGTTGGAGGCTCCTGCTGCCACCTGATCCCTCTGGGCCTCATCACCCTATTTTATAATATGACACGGCAAACTCAGATGCCTGTAACATCCGCAGGTCTGACATTCTAGGAGTCTGGCTGGACGCTATAACCCTTTATTGGCTTGATTCATGGGAGTTCCGTTTAACAAGAATACTCATTGTGCCTTCTGACCTTAGGGGCTCACATCTGCCGACAGAGCCTAGTAAGTAGCTCAGGAGCTTCTACAAGACTATGAGGGAGGGGACCAGCTGGGATCACAGATGGAAGCCAGTTTTCCTAAACCAGCAGGTCAAGCCCGCACCCTCGTCATTCTGCCCTGTCTCCTGAGCCCTGTGCAACCACCCTCAGAGGCCTGGTCTCCTGGGTGTGGTTCCCAGGAGGGTCCTGGACAAATAAGGGTCAGGAGCTTCCTCCCCTCAGGAACATGAAATCACAATTGGCCTGGGCTTTGCTCCAGGTTCCTGGCCTTAAATGGAGAAGGTTCAGAAGGCCCAAAGAAGCGGGGGAGAGTCTGAAAGGCTGAAGGTCTGAGGCAGGGCTGAGCTCCCATAACAATACCAGGAACCTGGCTTCAGGGGCTGGGTTGAAAGTGGGCAGTACAGCTTTGGCATACAAAGTTATGTTAGAAAACTGAAAAAAAAATGGATGGAAGGGACGATGTTTGATGGGCGGATGGATGGATGGACAGACAGGCGGTTGGATGGATGATGGATGGATAGGTAGACGGATGGATGATGGATAGTTGGGATGGATGATGGATGGACAGACAGATGGATGGATAGGTAAATGGTGGATGAATAATGGATAAATTAATGAATCAATGAACTGGAGCCTAAAGAAAAGCAGGTTAGAATAGTAAAGGAATTTATTCTTTCAAAAGGAAGTCTGGCAACATCTCTTTTCCCCTGAAGGAGAAAAGCGTGTTCATGGTCATCTGAATCACCCATGAGGGAAAGTGTCAGATTGATTCTTATGTCATCAGTAAAAATCAGAACTCTTTGGAGGTAGCCACCCTTGGCATCTGTCCTTCACGATATCCCCAGAATGACCCACCTGGTACAGTGGCAAGGATCTTAAAGATCACATATTTCGTCTTCCCCTTGTCCATGATGGATGTGCCCATATTAAGAACATTTCCAGCTGCATCATAATGAGGATGTGCTGTTGCCAGATTTACAGCCACGTATTTGCGATAATCAACCTGCAAAATGATAGCCACCTGCTTTTGCAAATGGGGGGAGGGTGAAACTTGATGAAAAGCACCTACTTCTAGGTTGAGAGAGATGAGGGCTACTTTTGCCTATCTCCTGATGTGAAAATAAGGCAGACTTCACCTTTAAAGAGGATGTTTACCCGTGTGACCTGATAGCACCTCTTGGGTGGCCTCCTACAGCACAGAGGCTGCAGGGGAGTCGGTGAGCCGTGTGTCTTTTCCGTGACGGTTGTTGCAACCCTGGCCCCTGGCCCTGAGGGTGTCCTCAGCATGGCAGCAGGATTCCTCAACACAGAGCAATGACCTGCACAGAGAGGCAGCCTTAGCGCTAATCTTAACCGCTGCTTTGTCTTTCTGCTTACATCATTTAAATTCTCCCCTTTTGCCTGCCACAGAGGCATAAATCTCCAGGCCTCTCTCATAGGATTATTCTGGGAACAGAGAGTTACAAAAACACTTGGTCAAAGCGAAACTTGGCTAACAAGCCCAGTAATGACCCCCCATCCCCAGCAGGGCACAGCCACAGAATAATGCGTGGCTGAGGAAATAACTGTCCTCCTCTCTTCCCCCAGAAGAGCATGACCTCTGGCCAAAAGTCAGGCAAGGCTTCATTCTCTCTTAGTATTTCCTCTCTGAGGCTTTGTGGAAAGCATACATCAGTTGGATGTATGCCACCCAGCTTAAAAGCTGCTGGACATAATTTTGCAGCTAAGAAAAGTATTCCCTTTAACAGATCGTTAAAATGTATTGAGAAGACATTGAGGCTTTGAATAGCCAACTGGAGAAAAAATGAGTGGGTCTATTGATTTTCATGAAAATGTTGATTTGATTCTGCCCAGGAAAGGTATCTGCTTGGGTATTTATTTTTGTCCTCTTGCTCTCTGCCTGAGGTCTCCCTCTTCAGGTCAATACCAGGTAGGGCTGCTCCAGTCCGGGCAATCCAGTAGTCATTCATTCAAACTCCCATTAAGCTCCCACTCGGTGCCAAGATGGTGGACAGTGTTATGGGTTGAATTGTGTCTTCCAAAATGATATGTTGAAGCCCCAAACCTTGGTATGTATATTTGGAAACAGGGCCTTTATAGATGTAATCAAGTTAAAATGAGGTAATTCTGGATGGAGGTGCGCCCTAATCCAATGATTTGTATCTCTAGAAGAGATTGGAGTGATGCATCTATAAGCCAAGGAACACCGAGGATTCCTGGCAGCCACCAAAGGCTGGAAGAGGGAAGCCAGCATCTTCCCCTGGAGGCTTCAGAGAGAGCATGGCTCCGAGGACACCCCGATTTCAGATTTCCAGCCTCCAGAATGTGAGAGAATAAATCTCTGTTGTTCTAACCCACCTAGTTTGTGGTACTTTGCTTCGGTAGCCCTAAGAATAAACACAGACACAGAGATGAAACGACACAGACCTCACCCCAAGAGAGCTTAGAATCTAGTGCTAAGTGCTGTGCTGGGGAAGCTCAGGATCCAATGGCATTAGAGGAGGGGCTGCCCCCATGAGTTCCTGCAGGCCACATGGCCCAACACAGGGGGTCTCTCTCTCATGAACAGGAACTGATGCTGGTTGTAGTAGATTCACTGGTACCTTCTCCAGGGTTTCCAGATTCTGTGGGTTGATTTTCCTGATGTAATTGGTCTCTGTGGTCGCATAGAAGTCTTCTCCACACTTCATGATGTTAATCAGGCAGTTGTCTGTGAAATCAGGGATGGTATGGGACAAGTAGGTGAATGCTCTCTGGAGGAAAGCAGATCAAGAGCAAATCAATGGCTGTGTCTACCCAGCTGGAAAGTTCTGTTCAAGATGGCTTTAGTTTTCCTACCACTTAAAATGCTCTACAATTCAAGGGGAAAAAGTTCCAAGTCCCAAAGGATCACTTGAGGAATCTGGAGGACTTGGAGATCAAGTTGCCCAAAGATACCACTGTGTTGAATTAGCTAAGAAGTGAGTCATCTGGGGGCGCCTGGGTGGCTCAGTTGGTTGGGCGACTGCCTTCGGCTCAGGTCATGATCCTGGAGTCCCTGGATCGAGTCCCGCATCGGGCTCCCTGCT